TGGGCAAAGTGTGCAGGCTCTACAAACATGAGGACCTGAGTTTGGATCCCCAGCACCCATGTAAAAATTGGCCATGGTAAAGTTTGTCTGTTACTTTAGCACTGGGTGTGATCAGACAGGCAGATTCCAGGGTGTTGCTAGTGTACACTAAACACTGGACTCTAGCTTCAGTGAAAGATCCAGTCTCAGAAAATTAGGTAGGGAAGCTGAGATGGCTCAGTGGGTAAAGACACTTGATGCAGGCCTTGCCAACCTAAGTTCCATTCTGAGACCCACATGGTGGAAGGAGAGAACCAACTGTTACAGACTGTCTTCTGACCTCTACTCATACACCCCTTATTCACCAAATAAACTAATAAATAAAGGGGCTGGAGAGGAGGTTCAATAATTAAGAGTACTTGCTGCTCTAGAAGACCCAGGTTCAATTCCCCCATCATCCATCTGGTGGCTCACAATCATCTATAACCCCAGTTTTAGAGAATCCACTGTCTCACAAGGACAACAGGCACATATATGGGGACAGACTTACACACAGGCAAAACACTCATACCCATAAAACAATAAATCTAATAAATAAAATGTAATTTTAAAATAAACCAGGGGGTAGGTGGTGGTGGTGCACACCTTTAATCCCAGCACTGGGGAGGCAGAGGCAGGCAGATCTCTTGAGTTCCAGAACAGCCAGGCTTCGCAGGGAAACCTGCCTTGGAAAACAAAACAAAGCATAGCAAAAAGTCAAAACCAGAAAAAAAGCCAGTGTGGTGGTGCACATCTTTAATCCCAGTACTGGAAAGGTAGAGGCAAGAGGATCAGAAGATCAAGGTCATTTTTGGTTTTACAATTTGAGGCCAGCCTGGGATACTTCAGAGTCCATCTCCCACCTACCTCAGAGAAAGAGAGAGAGAGAGAGAGAGAGAGAGAGAGAGAGAATGAAAAAAGGGTTGAGATTTTCACAAACTAGCACCTATCAGTGTCTGTGTCAGTACCACCAGCAGCAGGGACAGCCAGGCACAGAACACATGTTCTCTGCTCCTCATTTGCTATGATCTGAAATCTGGAAAAAAAAACCCAAGGCCATGTGTTTTTGTTTGTTTTGGTTTTGAGACAGGGTTTCTCTATGTAGCCCTGACTGTCCTAGAACACACTATAGATCTGGTCTCTGACTCACAGAGATCCACCTGCCTCTGCCTCTGCCTCCCGAGTGTTGGGATTAAAGGCATGCCCAGCTATATCTGTGTCCAACTCCAAGACCATGTGTTAAATGCTAATTTCCACTTGCTGCTACTGGGAAGTGGTGGAATCTATTGGGAGGTGTTCTGTTCATAGGAGATATGCTCTTGAAGGTGGTAGTGGGGTCCCAGCCCCTCCTCCTCCCCTTGTTGGCGTCCTTGCCATACAGGGACCAGATGTGCCCCACAGACACTTCCACCATAGTGCACTCCTCCACCACGTACACTCTCCCACCCCTAATACAACAACCCAGAGTTTTTCTCTCTCAACAGCAAGCCTGGCATGGGGGTGCTCAGGCTAGGCTAGCACTTTACCAGTTGAGCCACACCCCCAGCCTGCTTAACATTGTCTTTTGGCAAGTAGGTTTTAGCTTCTATATGGCTAAAATATGTAGCATTTAATAGTGTAGTGCTTGACTAAAATGCAACTTTTTTTTCCCTTTTGTGGATGTAGTTCATTTCACGGTGTTTTAAGAAATCTTTTATCTCTAAATTCATGAAGATCTTGTATAGATTCTTCTAGAGGCTTCGTTGTTTTAGTCCATCCCAAGTGTGATCAAAGGAACAGCGGCCTTTCAGTTCCACTTTCTCTTCCTCCCCCCTTTCTCTCTTCTTCTCTCTCTCCCCTCCCTCCTTCATCCCTCATTTGCAAATGTATTCTAACATCCTCTGTGATTTTTTTCTTTAATATATAAGTTCCTTTAGAAGACTCTCAATAGCCCAAAACTGGGTATTTTAAAACAATATTTATAAACTTTTAACCTAATTCCATTGAGTTCAGACAACTTACCCCTTCAACAGTGTTCTTTGGAGTTTGTCTGGACTTGTTTTGTGTCCAGCATAGGGTCTATCTGCAGAAGTGTTCTGGGAAGTGATGGAAAGGAATACATATTCTCAGACCAGGGAGACAGCTCACCAGTAAAGGCACTTACCGCCAAGTTTGAAGACCTGAGGTCAATCTCCAGGACCCACATGGTGGAAGGTGAGAAGCAACTCCTGAAAGTTGTCCTCTGACTTCCACATGTGTGCCACAGTACAAGTGTGTGAGTGCACACACACATACCAAGTAAATAAATTATGTAATGTATACATCTTCTTCGATCTTTCCATTTTCAATCTCTCTTTGTCCTTAAACTTGAAGTCTGTCTGTCTCTTTAAAAAAATGTAACATAGGCTGGCCTAAAACTCATGATCCTCCTGCCTCTGCCTCCATCAGCAAATCCTACCGGTGTGCGCCAGGCCCACAGCCGGCAAAGTCCGCTTCTTATAAGCAGGATGTAGTAGTGCTTTTCCCTCCTCTGATATCCTTTGTCTTTTAGCTGAAATATTTAATAGGTTTACATCTAATGTAATCTTGATACATTTAAGTTCAAGTCTTTCATATTATTTTTTTCCCCTTCATTTTCCTAGAACTTGGCGCAAACCAGACTTAGAATCCGTGCCCCTGGTGGAGTAGCTACCGCATCCGTCTAAGAGACCAAGAGACCTATGGGGTGTCCACGCCCTACAGCCTCCTCCGCAGTATGGCCACCAGGAGGCGCCAAGCTCCCTCCGTGGCAGTGGGCGGTACAGTGGGGGCCCAGTTCTCCTGCCACCGGCTGTCGTGAAAGCCCCGCAAAATCTATGGCATCAAACAACTGAAGTATTTCCCTAGGTCATTGGCCACCTGCTATCAGGAGGTAGAGAAAAGGAAAGAAGTGGGGAGATGGGATCTGCTGTCTTTCCCTAGGTCTGGGAGAATGGGCTACCCAGCCAACACCAACCTTAGGTTCCCTCGGGTCTTGGGTCTTCCTTTAAAAAGCCTTTGGCAGATGTCCTTTAAAGTCAGGGGATGCGCCTTCAGTCCAGCACTCTGAAGCCTAGGGAGGTAGATCACACAGGCACTCCTACCCAACCACCTGCCTCAAGTCTGCTTGGGGTAAGGAGACACATGGGGCAGCTTTGCATCCTCCATTGAAAATAATTTATTTCCTGGACACTGGGAAAGCAGGAGGGGCCTCCCAAGAACGTGTTTCCATGGCAGCACACATAGCTGTTTAATTTTTAAACTTTATTTTTAATTCTGTGTGTATATGGGTATGTGCACATGAGTGCATGTGCCCCAAAGAGGCCAACGGTATCAGATCCCCTGGAGCTGGAGCTGCACATAGAGGTGAGAGCCACTTACCCATGGTGCTGGGAATCGAACTCAGGTCCTCTGCAAAAGCAGTAGGAACTCTTACCCATGAGCCATCTCTCCAGCTGCCCTCTACCACTCCTTTCTTGAGAAAGTATCTCATGTATCCTAGGCTGACTTCAAGCTTGCTACAAATCCAAGATGACTTTGAACTTCTGATTCTCTTTTATCGCCACTGTCATGCCTGTTTGTGTGATGCTAGGAGTGAATATAGGTCTTTGTACCTGCTGGACAAGCACTCTACCAACTGAGCTACATTCCAACCCCAACCCCCCTTCTTAAAAAACAAAAATCAATCAATCAAACAAAAATCCACTGGGTCTCACAGGACCAGGCTGGCCATGATCTCAGCCTCCCATGTGCTGAGATTACAATGACAGTTAGGACCAGTCTCAGAGGGACAGTATCTGTAGCCTGTCTACAACTGACAAGTTTCTCTTTGGGATGGGTCTGGAATGCAGAAGGTGCAGAACTGAGAAAACTGCTGCCAGGCACAGGGGCCATCATTTCCAGCTCAGGGGAAGCACAGGCAGTCTGAGAGAAAGACACTGGGGTGCTGGTGTTTAAAGTCACTCCTAGAACAGGAGCCTCTTCACCCACAGCCTGCAGGCGCCTTACAGCTTCCACACAGAACAGGTGTGGGCCCTCAATTCAGTCAGTAGGATCTGCCGTGTTTTCTACAGTTGTGAGTTACAGGGGCTGGGCTAGTTCCTAAGATCTTCCTTCCTTCCTTCCTTCCTTCCTTCCTTCCTTCCTTCTTCCTTCTTCCTTCTTCTTCTCCTTCTCCTTCTTCTTCTTCTTTTCTTCTTCTTCTTCTTCTTATTATTATTATTTATTATTTTGGTTTTTTGAGACAGGGTTTCTCTGTGTAACAGCCCTGGTTGTCCTGGAACTCACTCTATAGCCTAGGCTGGCCTCAAACTCACAGAGATCCACCTGTGTCTGCCTCCCAAGTGTGCCACCACCACCAGACCCTTAAATTTTTTTTTTAAGCAAAGACCAAGGTCACACTTGTGCCCAGCAGCCAGGATGATGATTTGTTGGGGGGAGGTTGTTGCTACTACATACTTAAAGCTTCCATCTTCACCGTCTCTAACTGTGGTTCACACACAAAGCTCATTCACACTGCTGTGCAGCCAACCCCTCAGACCATCTCCAGAACTTTTATTTTGTAAAACTGGAACTCTGTTTCCATCAAACACTAAGTCCTCATACCCCATCTGAAATGTCTGGTGACGTCATCGGCATGGGTCAGAGCTCGGAGGGTACTCACAGATGTTTTCAGGTTCTCGTCTTTGTCTTAAAACAAAGAATTGTACCAGGAACAAGTGGTAACAGAAACAGAGACTGTTTGTTAAGGGAAAGAAAAGGATGGGCAGGCAACGTGGCTCAGCCACACCAAGCCTGATGCCCAAAACAAACCAAATCTCTATTAGCTTCCAGCGGTGGCATACACCTTTAATCTCAGTATTTTGAAGGTAGAAGTAGATAGATCTCTGTGCTTTCCTGCCCAGCCTGCTCTACATAGTGAGCTCCAGTCTAGCCGGGGCTGCATAGGAATACGCTTTCTCAAATAAATAATAAATAAATAAATAGTGCTTGCTTCAGCAGCACATACACTAAAATTGGAACAATACAGAGGTTGGCATGACCCCTGAGCAAGAATGCACACAAAGCCATGAAGCATTCCATATGAAGGTAAATAAAATTTCAAAAAATCAAAAACAAAAAAAAAAAGAAAAGCATTCCTGATAATGGTTATGAGTTACTGAGCTGGGCAAATGCTTGTGTTCATAAGGACTGGGCTACCAGGCTCACTACCTGCACAGTACCTTTTCTCTCATGTTTGTGCATGGCAGGCATTTTCTGAGCATGCTCTGTCTGTTTTCAGTAGCCCAGGTAGAGAAAGGTCTTCCAGTCCTGTTTTGTCAATTGACTTCTTGCACATGCTAATGCTACTGGCCCACCCAGTCCCTATTCTCCTGCTGCAGTGCCACCCATTCTACTGTTTCCAGAACCACCTGTGAGCACCCTTGGTGGCACCCGCTGCCTGAGCCTTTTGTGACTGGCTTCCTTCGTATCCTGTGGTTTCTATAAGGTTATCTCTGTTGTAACATGTGTCAGAAGATTCAGAATGGATAATATTCCATCATAATCCACATTTGTGTGTTCGTTGTCAGTGGACATGTGGGTTACTGCCACCCTCTGGATACTGTGTGTATGCCAGGGTTCTCTAGAGCAGTGGTTCTCAACCTTCCTAATGCCGTGACTCTTTAATACTGTTCCTCATGCTGTGGTGACCCCCAACCATCATTGCTACTTCATAACTGTAATTTTGCCACTGTTATGAATCATAATGTAAATATCTATGTTTTCCTATGGTCTTAGGCAACCCCTCTGAAAGGGTTGTTCTACCCCCAAAGGGGTCACAACTTGCAGGTTGAGAACCACTGCTCTAGAGGAACAGAACCAATAAATGAACATATATTGTTGCAGGGCTTGTTTGAACAATGGTGTGCATCACCCAACAGTGTCAGTGTTTACACTGGAGAAGCTGAGAATGAGTAGCTTCTCAGTTCTCCAGACTGGATGTTCAGCTGTTCCAGTCTAGCACTGAAGTCCTGGTGGACTCTTGGAGAGCCATTGGTTCAAGTCAACCTTAGGAGACCAAAAAAGCTGAGCTGAATGTCAGCGAAGGATGGTAGCAACAGTGTAGACGACCCTCCATGAGGGTAAATGACTTTCCATGAGGGTAGAGTCACTTGCTAGTATAAGACAGAAAAGCAAGCAGGCAAAACCAAAAAGCATTTCCTTCCAACCTCCTTATATATGGGCTCTCTGGCAGAAGGTGCCACCTATCTCTATTCAGGGTGGGTCTTCCAAATGCTTGGATTAAAGGCATGTGGATTAAAGGCGTGTGCTACCACAGTCCGGTAAAATTTCACATGTATAGTTGTGTGACCTGTATGTCTGCACCACATTCATGCAGTGCTTGCAGAGGCCAGAGGAGGGTTTAAGATCTTCTGGGACGGGTGGTACAGACGGCTAAGAATTTCATAGGGGTGCTGGGAACCAGTCACTGGGTCCTTCGAAAGAGCCGGAAGCTCTTGATCTCTTACCCATATCTCCAGCCCAGCATTCTGTGTTTTACAAAGTTACACACTGAAGATCTGGAGACCTTGTCTTGAGCATTTCTGTCTCTTCTGCAGCTCCAGAAAATGCAAACCCAGAAGAAACCATGGCAGAGATTTGGGGGAGCTCAAGTCTGCAGAGGGACTGACATATGCCTGGAAACTAAACCAAGCATGGTGGGTGCTCTGCCATCTTCTGTGTACTTGAATACAACCTGGGCAAGCTTCCCCAGATAGAGCAGGAGAGTCCTGAGGCTTAGGACACTGGACAAGTGGGTCTTGTGCCTTGTACACAAGCCTTGTGGTGGGCTTCATCCCCAAGCACCTTTCATTCCAGCAGTCACTGATCCCAAAAGCCTAGGAAACTTAGGCCAGAGCCTGGGGTCACAGCTTCTTGGTGTGGGCACCTTAGCTCTCAGGAGCTCTCATTTTGAAATGAGCATTAGGGTGACAGAAGCCAGTATCAAGTTCAACTTCCAGTCTATCATTTCCAGCTCTCCCACTGGTAGAGGAAGGCTGGAAGTCTGCCTTTGCCCAGCCTCCTGCTCATAATCAGTCTCCTGAGTTTTGCTGTCTCTAACTTGGAAATTCAACATTCACCAGAGGTCTCCAGGGCTTCCACAGCTGAACTTGGAGCCACCTTCAGCCTCACCCCATTCTCCAAAGACCCCCACAACATCTCCAGGCTGAGAATGGCTTTCCCAGCTTGCAGGCTACTAGCCTGGTCCCTGAGGCTAGGCCCTCACATTTTCAACACAGCACTTACTAAGCTGCCCAGGGAGGGTGCATTAATGTCCTGCAGAAAGCAGTTTTGCATGCTGAGCTGGTAGTGGACACCCACACCCTATCTGTGGAAGGCGTTTGTGGGGTACCCTCCCTTCGAACTTTCTAAAAAGGCCCCCGCCCTTCTCTTTCTTGCCCTGTGGACGGGGGTGGATGGCAACACCAGAGCTGGCTGCTGGGCTTCCTCTTTGGCCAGCTCACTGGGCAGTGACAGAGTCTTGGACTTTCAGCTGCTGGAAGGGTCACCAGGGGCCACCCAACTGCTCTGCCTCCACTCCCGGATGTCTCAGCCTGTACCTGCAGCCACCCTGGGATGCTGGGAGAGGGCTATCTGCAGAGGGGTTCTGGGGGCTGGAGCAAACCCTTATCTCTCAGCCAGGGGCCTGCACTGCAGTTGGGGCTTTGTAATCTGACATTGTGATTTTTCATCCTTGTTTTCTCTCCACAGAGGGAAGATTTGCTGAGTCACGCTGGGGAGGTGGTTGCAGAGGGTTGGGGGGTCTAGGCAGCTGGAGGGCTCTGATAAGTCTGAGGCTGAGCTAAGGGGCACTGGGGAGCCAGCAGGAGGAAGCCCAGAGCTGACGGTTTCCAGCTAAGATTGACGTCTTCTGTAGAGCTACCCTGAGGAGGCTGAGCCTAGAATCCTAAACTTTTCCTTCTGAGGCATTTAGGGCAGGGCCCAGGCCTCAGGGGGCCACAGATGCCAGCTAAGCCTCTGTGAATTCTGTGATTGTGTGGACAGTGACAGTGGCCAAGGTGGGATACACTATGTCACTTTCGGTATTACACACTGACTTGCAGGAAGCCCTGGCAGGGTAGTGCTGGGCCAGGCCTCTCATCAGGTGGGAACAGCTGGGGCAGATGGAAGGAGTCTGATCTTTGCAGTCAGCCTCTGCACCTGTCTTCTCCAGTGAAGGCCATCCTCATTTTAACAGATCAAATTCCTTCCTGTTTCCTCCAGAAATACTTCCCTGACTCTTGGGGCTGGGCTTAGCAACTCCCTTGGTCTCTCAGAGCCCCCTGAATCTTCCACCCCCATATCTTGCCTCACAGAGAGCAATCCAGAGCAGAAACCGGGTCTTAGGGTTTGTCCTCCAACTCTTAGGGAAATTGTTCCCTAAAAGTCTGGGGCCTGCCTGATGCCAACAAATCCTCAAAGGTGACAGCAGGCTCCAGGCCCTCATGTCTGCAGGAGAGTAGAGCCGGTGGCTAAGAAAGGCTCACCTTGCCTGTCTTCCACCCACTTCTTTGCTTCCCTGTACACTTTCTGCAGAGTGCCTGATGCTCCAGCCTCTCCAGGAACTGGCAGTTGAGTGGGCCACACACAGATTTGGGGATTGTGTTGGGCCTAGGGAAAGGGCAGACAGAATGGTCCAGTGGGGTAGCACCGGGGGCTTCCCCAGGACACTCTCTACCTAGTTTATTTCTGATTCTGTGAAGGCCAGGGCGCAACCACTGCCCTGAGGAAGGGGGGCAACTGATGCCCCTGAGTCTGTGGCCACATCCCCTGCTGCTCCCAAAAGGGACTTTGGGGACAGGAAGAGCTGCCCACAGTGGTCGCTTTGGTCCCTTCCTGCTGCCCAACTGAGCTCAGAGATAAGTCCTTGTGTGGCCCAGAGAGGCTAGGGGCCCAGGCCTTCCCCAGAAATCATGTCAGAACCCCCCACGCAGAGGAAGGGGTCTGAGGACCATGATAACCCCTCTATTTTTAAGAGATCCGGGAGGAAGTTCTAAGTCACCCTTGGCAGAAATAGCTCCGAACTTCTGCCTGGCGTCTGTGGCTACAGCTGGTGGCAGAGTTGGGTGAAGAGTGTGTCACAGTTGGAATCAACGCACAATGGCAGAATGCCACCTATGCCCCAGCCTGGCCTGGAAGGCTGAGCCTGTGTCCCCAAACCAGAGTTGTTCCTAAGGATAATACTGACAGCCACATGTATTGTGTCCCACTGCCTCATGGGAGGTGCAGAAATCTTGACACAAATGGCAGAAGAGGGGGTGCTGCTGCAGAAGCATGGAGTCTGAGCTGTTGCAGGGTGGTTAGGAGAGAGCAAGATGATGGGGTAGAGGGAACAGGAAGAGCAGAGGACCAGCTTCAGGGGCACTGGCAAGAGCTGGCTATGGCATATTGTCTACGACCCCCCAAGTGGTTCAACCCCTCTGGTCCCAGTTTGGGAAATGAGAGTAATAGCAGCATCCTTCAAAACTATTAAATACATTTCTTGTTCCATTTATGGTGCTGTGTGTGTGTTCCCAGGAAATATTTGATATTAGTTTGTTATCAGTGATTCCAGGCAGGTATTGAGCTGCAGAAACATATCAAATGTCACTTTTCTATTGCCCCAATCTTTAAACTGTATCTCCATGGCATGGTTTCTTTCCCACAACTGCAACCTCCACCCTTCATTCTCTTGTTCAAGAAATGACAGAAGGGTTGGGGAACAGTGGTGCTCACCCACCATTTCAGCACTAGGCAGGCTGAAGCAGGAAAATCACAGGTTTGAAGCCAGCCTGGATGATATAGCAAGACCATAGAAGAAAAGAAAGAAAGAAAGAAAGAAAGAAAGAAAGAAAGAAAGAAAG